CTTTCACTGGGGGTATGCTGCATCGCCTGCAAAAATCTTTTACTTTCGTAGGGAGTAATTTGTGTGTGCAGATTAGGGACCAGTCCCCCCCAGGGTCTTCCAGGTGTAGTTTTGATGTATCTCTCTTCCTGCGCTCCAGTGAGTACTAGCCAAATGCTTCGAAGCGTTCCCAGTAGTTAAGGTGTTTGATTGAACTTATACGTGCAGTAAAGGATCTTTTGTACAATTCTCTAGATCTGCAATTTCACCTGCTTTGGGAAAGGAGATCTTGATGTACAGCAGTATTTCAGCCTCGGGGAGAAAAATGAAATTTAAAATGATCACCATTGCTTGGCATCTCTTGTCTTGAATGTTCCATTTTCCATACTATGAGTTTCCTCGCAGATGTGACAGTGGCCCCTGTTGTGATTTTTAGAAGGCGAGATCCTCAGAACCGAGTTCTCTTTATTTCCTCTTTCACCAGAATTTTTCTTTACTACCCTTTCTACAACTTTCCTTCCAGACTACAGCTAATCTGTAAACTGAATGATGAACACGTCGGCAGAGATGAAAAAAAAATTTACTGAAAACTTATGAAAATTATAAAAAAAAAATTGAGGTCACAAAAAAGGAAAGAAAATGCGACTCTAGACAACACACCCACGTCGCTGTGCCCTGGAAACATCAGTTGAGATTGAATAAGTTTCCTGGTTACCTGGAGGTACCTGGAGGTTATTCCGGGGATCAACGACCCCCGTGGCCCGGTCCATGACCAGGCCTCCCGGTGGGGTCAGGGCCTGATCAACTAGGCTGTTGCTGCTGGGCCCCACGCAGTCCAACGTACGAGCCACAGCCCGGCTGATCCGGCACTGACTTTAGGTATCTGTCCAGCTCTCTCTTGAAAGGGAGCCAGGGGTTTATTGGTAATTCCCCTAAGCTTGATGGGAGGCTGTTGAACAGTCTTGGACCCCGGACACTTATGGTGTTTTCCCTTAGTGTACCAATGGCGCCCCTACTTCTAATTGGGGGCATTTTGCATCGCTGCCCCGTCTTTTACTTTCGTAAGGGGTGATTTCTGTATGCAGATTCGGGACCATTCCTTCCAGGATTTTCCAAGCGTAGAATATGATATATCTCTCCCTCCTGCGTTCCAACGAGTACAAGTCAAGTGCTTCCAAGCGTTCCCAGTAGTTTAGGTACTTGACAGAACTTATACGTGCAGTAAAGGATCTCTGTACACTCTCTAGACCTGCAATTTCACCTGCTTTGAATGGAGATGTTTTAAAGTAAAGCAGTATTCCAGCCTAGAAAGAACAAGTGATTTGAAAAGGATCATCACTGGCTTGGCATCTCTCGTTTTGAACGTTCTCGTTATCCATCCTATCATTTTCTTTGCACTTGTGATCGTGGCACTGTTGTGATCCTTGAAAGTGAGATCCTCAAACATTACTACTCCCAGTCCCTTACATTATTTTTTTCCACTCTACTGTAAAGTTGATCATTCAGAAACGCATACTCCATGACAACAATCTGGCCTAGGTTGCGGAATGTAGTGGTATGAAGGTGGAAGATTAAGACACATGTACAACAGTGTATGGCCTGGTATGATGGTGTATATACTGCTTGACACATACACAGAGATTAATGGTTAATCTTCTACACCCAGCCGCACTCACGACACATGCAGCGCTGCCACCACTCACA